GGACAGTGAGAGAGAGAGACAGAGAGAGGTCTTCCCTTTTGCCGTTGGTTCACCCTCCAATGGCCGCCGCGGCCGGCGCCGCTGCGGCCGGCGCACCGCGCTGGTCCGATGGCAGGAGCCAGGAGCCAGGTGCTTTTCCTGGTCTCCCATGGGGTGCAGGGCCCAAGCACCTGGGCCATCCTCCACTGCACTCCCTGGCCACAGCAGAGAGCTGGCCTGGAAGAGGGGCAACCGGGACAGAATCCGGCGCCCCGACCGGGACTAGAACCCGGTGTGCCGGCGCCGCTAGGCGGAGGATTAGCCTATTGAGCCGCGGCGCCGGCCTATAATTGATCATTTAATCTGGAATATGTATGATTGCCCTAACTTTGGATGGTATATTAAAGCCAAGATTTTTAAGGGGCAGCACACAGATAAACATGATAAGAGGATTGGGAAGCTCATCTTATTTTAGAGGGTAAAAGTATATTTCTAGTTGTGAAAAAAAATCTTCATTAAGAAAAGAAGTGGAAGTTCAATAAATATTTCTAAGGACTTCTTTTATTCTGCCATTTTTATTTTATTAAGTCAGATTTGGATAATTATACCCATAGCTTGAAATACAGATGAATCCTTTGGAATCTAGCACAGTGGTGGCATACTTTAAACATTATGGAAACAGCAGAAATTGGTCCTGGACTTACAGAAATAACTTAGTCATAAATTTGGAACCTCCAGAAAGAGGATGGTTATTGGGCATTTTCCAACTCATTTCTCTTGGCATGTCACATTCTAGGGTCAATAGGCAAGTGAATTTTAATAGCTTAGATGCTTGAATCATTTCTCGAGACCTATTTTGTTTGTCTCGAGTCAGCATGAGTATCTGAGGCAATCATCAATTTTAAAGGACATCTGGAAAACATTTTATCACATCTCCTGAAATTCCCATAATTTCATGAACCATAGTAACTTCTTTTGATTAAGAAAAATTAATAATCAAGATACTCAATATTACTCTGAAAATGTCTGTATTTAAAATATAAAGAAATTTAGAAAGGTGTGTTTGGGGAAGATAAAAACCTCACCATTAACTCATTTGAAATGACTATTGAGTTTCCCCAAAAATAAGTTTTTTCTAATAATTAAATGAGTTTTAAGTTAAGACACCAGAAGTGATGAAACAGGCTTGAGTTAGTGAAATTATCAGAGTCCTATTCAAATATAAATCTTTATAAAAGATTTATGTATTTGAGAGACAGAGAGTGAGAGAGAGAGAGAAAAAAAAACAGAGAGGCATACAGACAGAGAGCTTCCATCTGCTTCCCAAAAGTCTACAATGGCCAGGACTGGGCGAGGTCAAAGCCAGGAGCCTAGAACTCAATCTGGATCTTTCACATGGTGGCAGGAACTCAACTATTTGAACCATCATGCTGCTTCCTGGGGTGTGCATTAGCAAGAAACTGGAATTGGGAGTGGAGCTTGGATTTAAACCTAGGAACTCTGATAGGGAAGGTAGGCATCCCAAGCCACATCTTAACCACTAAGTCAAATGCCTGCCCTGGGCAAAAGATTTGTATAGACAGTTAACCAAAGAAGGCATTCAGATAGCAAGAAATACCCATGAAATTGCATTCAAAATCTTCCATCAGGGATGTGCAAATTAAAACTGCAATGTGATACCACAATGCATAGATGAGAATGATAAAAAAAAAAACAACAGCCTGACAATTGCAGGAGCACAGGAAGGTGTGAAACAGCTGCAACATTTCTGTGTGGCTGATGAGGATGCAAAATATTTTGGAAAAACAGTTTGGCGGTTACACATAAAGTTAAACATACACTTACATTACAATCCAACATCCTATTCATAGCCATTTGATTAAATGAAATAAAAAGCTATGCTTACATAAAAACCTACTTGGGAATCTTTTCAGCAACTTTATTCCTAATCACCCAAACTGCAAATGATTTCCAAGTCCCTCAGCTGAGGAGCACATAAATAAATGGTGGCATATCTATACAAGGGCATAATACTCACCAATAAGAAGGAACATGGCTACAGACCTGTGAGGTTGGTTTCAAGCTCACTATGCCAACTGAAGAAGCCAGATTCAATAGCTTTTATAACAAAGGTTGTATATCTTGTGATCCCATTTATCTGATATTCTGGAAAAGCGTAACCATAGGGAATGAGAACAAATCAGTAGTAGAGAGGTAGGTGGTAAGGATGGGGGGAACTCCAAGAGAAAATTCAAGGGATTTGGGGAGGGGGCGTTGATGAACTATCTTGTACCTTGTCTGTGGTGGTGGTGAGACCACCTGTGATTTTGTCAGAACTCATGGAACTGTCTTCTGAAATGAAGGGATTTTACAATCTGTAAAATAAAGTAAGAAGAAGAAATACTATATGTCTCTGGATTTCTTTTTTTTTAAGTTGAACCATCCCCAGGTCCTTTTTGTGCAGACTAACTTTTTCATGCTGACTTTGAGATTCTTTCCTGGCTGACTCAGACTGGAACTTCTTGTAGGAGCACCTCACTTTACAGATTGCTTTGCCTTGATAGAAGCAAAAAGGACAACCAAATTTTGGATGTTAAGATTTATCTAAATTTAGTCATTCTTACTATAAGGTTGTATTTATTATTTTATTGAGCTGAATTACAAACTATAAAAAATAATACCAATCTGTGACTCTAACTGTACTTACCCTAAATAGTCCTAAAGGTAAAATAAAGGTATGGTATGATGTTTGGCTTTTCACAGATTAGAGCAACAGATGTAGCAGGGAGAATAGACATTCAGTTGGTAGCTTTCACTCCCAGGAAAAAGGGAAAAAGTGAGTCATTGAGTGACTGATGAGAGGAAAGAATGTCTTGATGTTCACAGGGTGTTTCTGAACAGGGCTGACCACCATACTCACTTTTCTTCTGGTCCTACATCAAATCTCTTATGGGACACAGACAGCAGAACAGTATGAATAAATAATTCCCATGGATCATCCAATGCCATCACTTCAACCTCTTTTCTCTAAGACATCTCTTCTCTGAACATGATTTCACACTGGAAAATTGAGTTTCTTAGTTTTCATTTTCCATTACATTCTGTAATGAGAAGTAGTCAAGAAAAGAAACTAGGATTAAATAAGGAAAAGAGCAATGTCAAAGTGCTGTTGAAATCTACAAAGAGGCAGCTGGGTGTCACAGCAAATCATGGGTATTAAGGTCAGAGATATTTAGTTCACATCCCAGCCTGCCACTTACTAGTTATTTAGGCAAATTATTTAACCTGTATGAGCCTCATTGACTTCACTTTTACATTGGAAAAGCAACATCTACAACAATAAATTTAGGTGAGAATTAATAAGATTATATAAGGGGCTAAGGTCATTGTTTGGCATGGTAAAGATATTCCACAAGTAAGAGCTGTCAGTATTACCTTTATTACGATTATTCCTATGTAAATCCACCTAGAATAACAAATTTGATTATATTTAAGTTTCTATTATCCCTTCAATTTTGGCATTCACTAGCCATTTGACTTTGCACATACTGCATCATTTCTCTGGCCTTACTGGATAAGCATTCTAGTACCTATTTCATAATATTGTCATGAGGGTTAAATAAATACTTTCACTGCCTTTAGAACAGTGTCTGGAACACAGTAAAACCACAATAAATGTTAGCTGTATAATTTCTACCATGATTTTTACTGTGACTAT